AATTTCTTTTATTCTCAACATAGGAGGAAGGACGAGTAGGGATGACAATTGCGATCCTATATAAGATTAATTAGTGTCATGCTACAAAATATTGCCAATTATGACATATTTATGATATATTGTGAGTTTAATTAGAATGTCAAAATTTTATTTCCATGTATAAAAAACATAATCTACTTATTTTAGAATTTTTTTTGGAACAAGCCGGCTTATATTGATTTTTTTTGTTATCCCGGAAGGTCAACCACCAAAATCAGTGCGGCAAATGCCGGGAAACATTTGTCATATTTTATTAGAATGAACCAGAAGAACAGAAGAAGAGGGGTACTAGGCCAAAACCTCTACAGAATAAGCATACTTCTTCTAGATACATAAATTAGCAAACAAGCTAAAAAATTTACCGGAGGGACTATACCTTACCCAGTAAAAAAGAAATAATCAAAAAACCAATTTGACAAATACAACGGAATTTAAAAGAAGGAATTCCATACATGTCCATGTAATAGGCCCGTTTTGCCAAGATTGGAAGTTCACCTGCCCTGGAAAAAATCCTAAGATGGGTCAAATTGAGATCAACCAGGTAATGGGCAATCACATTTCCTCCCCGCAGGACATGTCCAAATGATATAGCCGGGTTGCCTAAATATAACAAGGTTGCCTGAATCTCGATTCTCCACAGGCGGCTTATATTGATAATAAAACATTCAGCAAGGGACAAAAGAGATAAAGAGAACATTTCCAGCCACCGACTCTCGAACCAGCCTAAGAACCAATCACCCTAAACATAGCAATATGATATGTTGATCCTGTAATGGGTCTATATGAGCCTAACATGGCCAGAGAAAAACCATCATCACCCCTATCTAATGTAAGAGTGACAGAATAAAACAACAATAACGGAAATAAACAAGTTCTTAGCAAAAAGCAGAAAGATAGTGAGAGAAAAACGTGGAAATTCAGCTGATGAATCCTAATGATCACGAACGAGCTCCAGTGCCCTCCCCTAGCTGAAAGAAATCTTCAAAAATCTCAGCGGGTTGAGCTGCCTGAACCCGCCCCTCCCCATTTTTTGGATCATCCAGGGCCATATTGTCCCTTTCACCCCTCCCACCGCTAGGTTCTTCCCAAGTCCTCCTGCGTTTAGGGTCTCCAGTGGCTCCCTCCTCATATGCGTTTCCTTCAGTTTCCATTCAGCTCTTGCTACTCCCAGTCAAAGGAAGTGCCCAATCCCTTTTGCTTGGACCCTCGCTCCCGTCTCCTTTCCTGCCCTGACCTTATCGGACTAGCCATTTATTTCCCCCCAATGACTGAGATCTCCCCCCTCCTCCTGTGCGCAGGCCGACCCCATACGCCTTGGGTATCTCCACATTTTTATTCTCATAAGCCAATGGGCAGTACCTGTCGGCATGCCCTATAATACCACATACAAAGGAAGACCAGGCAACTTTTCATATTTAAAGTCAACCAAGTGCCCTTCTCCCTGCCCCTTCCTGAGGGTCGTACCCACCTTCAGCGGTTTTCCCACATCCAAACAACCTCTAATCCTCATATACGGTTTCCATTTTTTAACAAATTGACTCGTAACAAAACTAACGCATTTACCAATAAAATTCCCAATCCTTTTGGGAGCCCCCAAATTCATTTAGTCATATGGAACATCATGCACTTGAACCCAAAATTCAGTTTCATTCAAAGGGACACGAAGGGGAAGATCCCCTGGTTTTAGCGCCCGGAGAATTAGCAAGTTCTGTTCGAAAATCCACGAACCACCTTCCATCACACGTTCCAAATCAAGAAATGATAGAAAGTGAACATGTACCTTTTTTCGCTAATCTCTTTTATGGAAATACCTTTAACACGCCTCCAGAGTTGAGCCATAAGATCTCAAAAAACTGGAAATTTCACCCTTTTGTCCATAATCACAGTACCCACAACTACGAACGTCTCTTCATCAGCCGAAACTTCATCACCATCGACGGTCTCTTCGTCGAAAACAATCTCATCCTCTTTATCCCGATAGCCATGTCCTTGTATTTATCTGCAATATCCTCCATCCCTCTATGCCGCTGAAAACCCATCGAGTAACAACGACGAGCAACGCAGCCGCCGAGTATGTCTTACCATTTCAGCCGTATACGTCTAGCCGGAAACCTTGGAACGGCCGAAATCAAGCACAGAAAACAAAGAAGAAGCCGAGCCGAAGCCCGGATGAGAACTGCCGTCACGAACGACGGCGCCCTTTCACAACCCTCAAATTATTTTCTCTTATTTTAGGAAATATAACTTCTCAAAATAAAAAGCAAAGAAGACTTGGTAACAACATTATCTCATCAAATTCTCATTGATTGCACCTTGCTTACCCGGTTACACCCCATTGTTTGGTAGGAGCTCTATTTCTTTTATCTTCTTTACTCACTTTGGCGGAATTTTCATGAAGTATAAAAAGGAACATAGATCATACCCCCTTCAAATTGAGAAGGAAATACTTGGTCTAATGTTATAATTTACCTTCTTAGAGAGCGGTTCCGGTAAGAACGGACTCCTAAGAGAGAAATGACAATGAATCTGTACCGTTGGATTGTATTATGTGGAACTGGATTGTGCATTTGGTGTAACTGGAATGTGAATTAGCTGATATTGAAATGTGCAGAATAAAAATTTAAAGTCAAGTGTGCATTAAATGAAACTAAAATGTGCGGAATAAAAGATACAAAAATAACATCACATCGTACCTTGTATTCTGCACATTTCAGTTTCACCTAGTGCACATTTCAATTTCGCTTAATGCACAATTCGTCTTAACATAATGCCACTGTATCGTACCCTTTGTGTTGCACATTTCAGTTTCACATAATGCACATTACAGTTTCATCTAATGCACATTGAATTTCACTTAAAACAAATCTAACGGTCCAAATTCATTCTCATTTCTCTCGTAAGATCACATTCTTAGGATGTTTTTACTTGGACTGTAATTTGTTGATCTGGTCTGGTCTGGTCTGATCTGGTCTGGTCTGGTCTGAACTGGTCTGGTCTGGTCTGATAAGGTCTGGTTTCTTTGTATTTTTATAACTATCCAAGTCTGGTCTGGTCTGGTCTGGTCTGGACTGGTCTGGGGCAAATTACATCCAAGTAAAAACATCCTTATTTGAATCAAAATCTACATTTTTTATTTGTTAATAATTAGACATGAATTGGCCAAAAGTGTCGGCCAAAATCCAATTCCTTCTTTTGACCTTCAACATCCTTATTTCTTCTTTATACTTAAATTTATCATTTTATAAATCATCATTACTTAGGATGTTTTCTTTGGACTGTTTTCAGTCCCAGACCAGACCAGACCAGACTTAAACAGACCAGACTTAAACAGACCAGACCAGACCAGACCAGACTTAAACAGACCAGACCAGACCAGACCAGACCAGACTTCCGTAGTTATAAAATACACAGAGACCAGACATTTACCAGACCAGACCAGACTAGCTCAGATCAGATCAGACCAGACCAGACTTAAACAGACCAGACCAGACCAGACCAGACTTAAATAGACCAGACCAGACCAGCAAATTTCAGTCCAAAAGAAAACATCCTTACACGGGCGAATATAATCTAGAATTTTGCTTGATGAGGGGTAAATATACGCTATGAAATTGTCATGATACACCTCGTAGGTATTTTACTTTTCATGTCATCCAAAAATATCTTTACATTCTTTATGTATTTGACAATCCTTTTCATTTAGCATATCAATATTTATTATTTTCTAATATGGATTTAGAGACTTTACAAAAATTTCAATGTAAGTTCCGAATATATATGTAACTTTTAATTTGATGGTTGTGTTCTGTTTAATTTATAGATTGTGGTTAAATATTTTATTAACTAATTGAAAATGTTGTTTTCTATATTTTTATTTTGAAGTGTTACTATATCATGGTTACATTAATACTTAATTAGTTTGAGAATTTTATACTTAACTAGAAACTTTGCTAGCGTAGCCATATTTTTTTTTTACAAAAAAGAACCGAGGACTCGGACCGAACCGGCCCGTTTTAAACGGGGCGGGTAAAGTCCAGTTCCTATTTTGAGACTTGGTATACCCGGACCGAACCTACCCGTTACAAAGAACCGGCGATTTTTAAAAATTTATCAATTACCCGGACTGACCCGAACCGTGCCCAGCCCTAACTAAATATACGCTATGAAATTGTCATGATACACCTCGTATGAATTTTACTTTTCATGTGATCCAAAAATATCTTTACATTGTTTATGTATTTGACAATCCTTTTTATTTAGCATATCAATATTTATTACTCCGTATATTCTAATCTGGATTTAGAGACTTTATAAAAATTTCAATGTAAGTTCCGAATATATATGTAACTTTTAACTATTAAAACAGATTGAATTATCTGTAAGGATGATTTAATTGTATCATCACCCAAGCTTAAAAGTCGCAAGATTCTAATCAGTTCAGCACGGAGGAATTAAGAAATATTAATCATATAATTTTGTAACATTCAGAATTTTTTGTTAATAATCAGTAATTTAAATGCTCAATGAAAGAAAACGATAAGACTAAACCCAAACAAAAGTATCCAGAAATAAGTAAAATTGAGAGTAAGTTTTAATAAGAGGTAATATGTTTAACAAATAAAAATATGAACCACTCCGCAGGAGGGAATTGAACCCCGCGTTGCTAATAATCAAGAACAACCCTTAGAACACTCCACCAGCATTAGCACTTGTCATTACAATAATTTGAAAGCATTTTATTTAATCAATGAAACTTGCTAAATAAATTTGAACTTTAATTTTTATGAAACTCCGGACTTTTTTTGAACAAAGATGAAACTCGATCTGGTCTATTTATTTGCAAAAAATCTCAAAAAAACTTCCACGTAATAACTTACGTAATTAACTAATTATGACATGCATCTCAAAGTTTTTATTTATAATGAAGCACAAAATAACCATAAATTAAACACACAATGCAGGTTGGAAACGGTGAACCTTAGATCTGTTGGCGGGCTAGCAAAGGTATTGGGAGTAGCTCTATGCACGGGAGGGGCTGCAACCATCGCCTTCTACAACGGCCCTACCTTAAAGTTACTCCTGCATCACCACCTTATCAGCCACCATGACCAACAACATCAACAAAATGCATCTTCTGGCAACACATGGGTCAAGGGTGTCTTTCTTATGCTCCTAGCTAACGCTTGTTGGAGCTTATGGATTATCATACAGGTAGATAGCTCGGGCTCTTAAAGAATTTTATGAATTGAAATGCATGTTCAAGCTCGAGCTTGATTACGAACCATGCAAACCAACCGAACTCATCTATGTTCAAGTACTCATTATTAAGCATGGCAATAGGTCGGGGCGGGGCGGGTATTGCAAGACCCGGACCCGCCCTGTGACTTGGCGGGGCGGGGCGGGTCCGCCCCGCCCCGTGACCTGCACGGGTCCAAACTTGTTGACCCAAGATCCGCCCCGCCGCAACCTAATTAGCTAGTATGTATTTTTATTTATGGGAAGTTGTTACCAATTGAATCTACATAATGTTTATCTCTAAATAATAATTAAAAATTAATATATTAAATCAAATTCATGATACGCTAAAAATTTCAAAATTAAGGAAAAATTACTCAAACTTGAATAGTTAATCAATTAGTTATATTAATAATTGAATATATGTATTAAAATTCTATATACAAAGAAGACATTGATAATCCGTCGTGCATCTCATTCTAATATATATTCATATATTATAAGATCAAAGAATTTATGATTTATTGTATACACACATATGTATGTTGAAGTATATTTGTAGTATAATTTAAGAAAAAGTATGTATACTTTCATATTGAGCGGGGCGGGGCGGGGCGGGGCGGGGCGGGGCGGGGCGGGGCGGGGCGGCACGGGTCAATTCTAATACCCGGACTTGCCCCATTGTATAGGCGGGGCGGGGCGGACCCGCCCCAAATGTCTCGGGCCAGGGCGGGTCATTGCGGGTCGGGTTTTTTTGACATGCCTACTCATTATCTCACACTAGCATTGTATAAAATATTTCATCAATATATAAAATCATAGGGTCTTCCTTGTTAACCATCTAGTATGGAACACAGAGTCTTAGTATGATTAAAGAGTCATATCAAGTTTAATTTATGGGGTGAATATATATATGGACGTTGTTTAAGTTTTCATTTTCAACCCAGTGAACTTTCCTCTTTTAAAGTTGGTTCTTAAATCATTTGAGAGATGTCTGAACCACCAGTACGTGGAAGCCATGACCCCTTAAGATTTGACAGTAAATTCATGCTAGGTATTGGATTTAGTTTGAAGAACCATGCATTTATGAACCTCAAAATCGGTATTATATACTATGATCCGTAGTTTCTTAATTAGGACATTGATTGTCTCTAATTTTTTGTTATATGTCTTAAAATGCGCGCATTAGGGTAGTATTGTGGATGCGTATCCTTGCAAGCTTCTAAGCACAGCTCTTCAATGCGGTTTAAGTACCATCCAATCATTTGTGGTAGCCATTGCGGTGGAGAGAAATCCAGTGGAGTGGCAGCTTGGATGGAATATCAAACTTATGTCAATTATTTATTGTGTGAGTAATTCTAGCTAGCTAGCTAGCTTCTTAGTGTTAAGTCAATATTAATTCTGAAGCTAAACGGTTAGAAAATGTAGTAATTAAGTGGTGAACCTACTTGGCAGGGAGTGGTTGTGACAGGATTAACATTTTATTTGCAAGCGTGGGTAGTTGAGAAGAAAGGTGCACTTTTCCTGGCCATGACTACACCTTTGTCTTTGCTTATCACCATAGCCATTTCAGCTGTCCTTTTGGGAGAGATTGTGAGTTTGGGAAGGTAAAACTATTTAAATGCAATTATATATCGTTTTGTACTACTTCATTTATATATAATACTTTAAATGAAATTATTAATTATATGGTTAAACTTTGTTTCTTCATACCACAACAGCATACTGGGAGGAGTTTTGCTGGTCGGAGGACTATATAGTGTTCTGTGGGGAAAGGCTGAGGAGCATAAATTGAAAGCGGCCACAAGGATTGACGTAGAGAACGTTGACGAGTCGGCCAAAAATGAGGAGCATAAATTGGGAGTGGTCACAAAGGTTGACATTGAGAATGAGGAGGACAATAACAATGGTGGCATGGAAACTAAAAATTCCGCCCAATCAAAATAACTTAATAAACCATGCAAATTCTTGAGTGTGCTTGGCCCATAGACGGATGCTATGTGCCTTTATTTGTTCTCTTATTTCAATAGTATAATAATAATTATCTCTAATTATTTTCTCCATTCTATTGTCAAAACATCGGTTGAGTAATAATTAAAATCGATTGTGAGCATTAAATATATAAAGTGGTAATTCAAAAACCAAATAGCAAAAAGGAAATGACAAGTAGTTACTATTGGTGCAATTTATTAGGTTGCTAATCAAGCAAGCCATTTTGCAAGTTACTCTAACTCGACTCGGTTCATTTTTCAATCTAGTTCGATTGGTTTCAAAACTGACTCGTACTCGAACTCAACTAACCACAAATCAAGTCAGGTCAAGTTATACGAACTCGATTCGAAATGCTCACAAGCAACCCGATTATATTATGATTGTAAAAAAGTGAAAATAAAATGTAAATGTATGATTATAATTGAGTAAGAAAAAGGTAAACGCATGTAACAAACAAATAACTTTTCAAAAAGGAAAATGAGAAGTGAGTAGTATAAACTCGCCTCCCTCGCAATAATTCCTGGATACGTCACTGGTTGTGACCTTGCACGCATCTATCCACGTATATGATAAATGAGGCGAGGCTTGGGGACAGATAGTTGGTAAAAACTTATTACCAAACGAGACATGGTAGGGACATTGATCAGTGAAATTTGAATTTAAACCTACAATTTCTTTTTTATTAATGAACCTAATTGTACGTTCTAAATAATATAGAATTGAATGAGGGGTTGGAAAAAATTAAAACCTCATAATTATAAATGGTTGCTTTTCACCACACGTTCTAATGAAATATATTGCAGAAGAAGAATGATGGGAGTAGCACAATTTATTCTCGCCCTCTACTATACTACACCTCCCTATGTTACGTTCCAAATAATTAAAAATTAAACACCCATTCTTTTCTGTCGTCCATCGCCACCCTCCCGCTGCTCCCCCGTCACAACAAATAATCATTTAGCATTCAAATATACATATAATTCCGTATATATACATTAACGTACGTACATACATTGAGAAATCGATCCAAAATTAGTTATGGGAGGGTGTGCGTCCAAGCCTAGGGTTCTAAAGGACGATGACGTCTCAGCCATGTCTCCGGAGCCGCAAAACAAGGAGGTCTTCGCCGCCACCGATAGTACGGTGGTCGCCGAAAAGAAGCTGCCGACGGACGCGGATAGTGCTACCAAGCGCCGTTATCCCAGCACCGTTTTGACGGAGGTACATACATACCTTATAATCGACGCGTTTGAACTTTGAAGGCACTCGATCCGTCTTATTTTGGCTGTTTATATTGAAGGCATTTAACATGAGACGGAAAATGTTTGACTTTTTCTTGGTTTATGATAATCCACTTTAATCAAGATCAATAATACAAAATTATTTTGAATACTTCGTATCATAATTATATCAAAAAGATTTATAAAAATTGACTTTTCTTGATTAATGATAATCAACTTTGATTAATACTATTTTTTAATGCGAAATTATTTTGAATATGAAAATTACTAGTATATAAAAAGGTTCGCCAAAATTTACTTCTCTTGGTTATGATAATATTTTTTAATACAAAAATATTTTGAATATAAAAATTATATCAAAATGTTTCTTATTAAAAAAAAATCCAAAACAATATAAAATTTATACGGAGTAAATTATATACAAATATAATAATTAAAATCATTGTCCATTATTGACCAAGAAATGTTAATATGGTAAACCTTTTCGGGACGAAGTATTAGTATTTTGTTACTCCTGGGGGAGTCTGGGGGAAGGGGGTTGGGGGCCTGAAGTAATAGGGTTGAAACTCAATTTGTCGAGTTTTGAACGCGAGACCTCTCGTAAGGAGGAGTGAGTCGGCGACCAACTGGACTATAATTCGTATAAAATTCATCTAAATTCTTAAATCAATTCTATTTTCTTGGGACATTTTGAAACTTTGATATTCTTTCTATGTACTCCGTATTGTTTCTTGGGACATTTTGAAACTCTTTGGAAAATGTTCAATAAGACGTGAAAAATCCGTATTCTTTCTCAATATACTAGTATATGTTTTATTTTCTCAGCTCATTTTATCTGCAACAACTATGCTCATTTAAATATACTTCATATTAAATACTCATTTTGGATTACGTCAATGCTCATTTGGAGGGATCTATCAACTGTAGCGCAAATATACTGTAAAAAATTGTGCGGGGAGATTGACAAATGTTATTTTCAATTCCTGCAACTATAATAGTGCTTAGCTTGTTATTTTTGTCCCCGAGTTAGGGAGTAGTGGTTTTTATTTTCATACTGTAATAAAATAAGAATAAGAATAAGCAATGAGTAATAAGAATAAGATGAAAAGAACAACTCCTAATTCATTCTAGTTTTTGTTTTAATTACTCGTTAATCATAACGATCATCTTTTGAAGAAGTAATAACTCTGACCCATATATTTCTTATCATTATTTGTCATTTCTTTCAAAAATACGTAATTTTATCATATGGGAGGTCATTAAAATCTACCGTAGTATTTTAAAATTTTGAATGATTACTTTTACATTATACGGAGCATATGTTAATTCTAATTTTAGCCTCGTAGGAGCTGAAAACAATGATTTCTAATGTTTTGTAAATTTATGCATCTAGCATTAATTTTTCTAAATTTAGATGATGTCGAAGTTAGTGAGGGACTATGTTGTGAAAAAATTGTCCCAGTTACTAGTGCTTAGTGACTACCGTCCTAATTACTATCACTTCAGAAATCACCATCTCAATTACTATCGCTCCAGTTATTATCGCTTCAGTGACCACCGTCCCATTTACCACTACTTAAGTAGCGATTGTTCCAGTTACTATCATTTCAGTGACATCCGTCTCAGTTACTACCGCCTCAGTGACCACCATGGCACCATCCCAGTTACTACCGCTCAGTGATCATCGCCTCAGTTACTACCGCCTAAGTGATACCGTCTCAGTTACTACCGCTCCAGTGACCAATCATACAATGACTGGCCAGTTACATTTACAGTGACTTGTCCGATAGTGACCTCACCACTCACCGATACCTTGACCTATTTGTCAGTGACCTCACCACCCACAATGACCTGTCGGCTAGTGACCACCCGACAATTACCACCATTGCCGCCACACTTAATTCGCTTCCTACCACCTCCGATAACCTCTGGCCACGTACCACCGCCAACCACCACACCCCATCCCCTGTCTCACCCAGCCCCCTTCCCTGCATCACCCAACCCCCTGCCTCACCCAGACCCGGACCTCTCCTGCGTCACCCAAGCTCTAGCCCCTCCGGCACCACCACGTCTAAGCCCCCTGCGGCCCTGCTCCCTTGTATTTCCCTGCCCCTATTCCCAGCCCTAGTCGTGATCGCCTGGCCTGTCCCCATCACCGCAGATCTGGAAAGGCAAGGTCGAAGAGGTATGCGATTAAATTCAGTGGGAGATGATGGGTTGCCGTTGGGAGCGATGGATGTCGGCAATTGAAATGGCTGGGAAAGGAAACGACGGGTAAAAAGATGCCAAAGGGTATTTGAGACTTTTGAATGGTGCGGTGCTAAGTTTTTTGTCCATTTAAACATTTACTCTCATTTGTGTCCACGCGTATCCTGGAAGTCACACTTGTGCCATTTTTTCTAATAAAAACCATAAATTAGTTTGAGAAAATTGACAAGGTTTTTGAAAACTAAAGAAGTAAAGTTAAGAAAGTTTTTAAAATTTGACAAAGGTAATATAAACTCGGCAACTCTTTTTGTTAGAAATTACTTCAAATAGGACTAAAACTATGGCAAAAACTCAAAATAGGACTTGTTATGTTTTTTTTCCAAAATAGGACCATAGTGGTCCTATTGGAAACATACTCATTTCTTCCTTCCATTCTTACCCCTCCTTTAAATATTAGTAAAAGATAGCTAAAAGTCATAATTAAATGTTTAATTCATAATAAATTCGAAAAAATTTCAATAATTCGTAGAAAAATAATAAAAAAATTAATAAAATTTTTATAAAATAAAAAATAAGAAAAAAATTTTTTTTAATTTTTTTTTATTTTAAAAATTAATAAAAAAATAGTAAAACTCCATTAAAAAAATTAAAAAAAATATGGATACGTTTCCCACCGCCTGTACTACCTCCCTGAACCACCACCTCCGATCGGTGTAAAAAATGCCACTTTTTTTTTTAAATTCCACAAAAATGGCATATTTCTCTATGAGAATGCCAACATTTTCATTCTGCCAACTGGAATCCTTTTGACTTTTGTCAAAAATATGGCATTCATAATTTTTTTGGCATTTTTTTACCCCAGTGACAGGAGGTGGTGGTACCGCCTCCCTGCACCACCACCTCCGACCGTTAAAAAAAATGTCATATTTCCTACAAACTTCCATTTTTTTTTCGGAAAATGCCAAAAATATGGCATATTTCTCTTTGAGAATGCCAACATTTTTTATCTTCCATCTTAAATCATTCTGAATTATGCCAAAAATATGGAATTCATAATAAATTTGGCATTTTTTCCCCAAATGACTAGAGGTGGTGGTGCTGGGGCGGTATAGGCGGCGGTGACAAAAAACATATTTTTTTGATTTTTTTTTAATTTTTTTTTATTTTTTTTATTTTTTATTTTTTTTTAATTTTTTTTTAAATTTATTATTATTCAGAATATTTTTATTAATTTTTTGGTATATTTTACGAATTTTTATTATTTTTTATTATTTTATTATGAATTAAAACATTCCAATAGGTATAAGGGTATATTTGTCCAAGACAAACATAATTAGTCCTATGGAAACATATTTTATTTTTTGGTCCTATTTGTGTAAAGTGAATGACTTTTAGTCCTATTTTGATAATTAACTCCTTTAGAGAATATTACCCGAAATATGACTAAAAAGTTTTAAAATTTCAAAATAGGACTTTCATATTTTTATTCCTCAAATAAGACTAATTACTGTCATGTTTTGACAGAATTACTCTTATTTTGGGAATAAAAAACATGACAGTCCTATTTTGAAATTTTCAAAGTGTTGTAGTCTTAGAAGCTGTTCTCTTCGCCTGATCTGAATGTTTCTGATCTGAATTTTTTAAGTTCTGATTTGATCTGATCTGAATTTTTCTGATCTGATCTGATCTGATCTGATCTGAATCTTTCTGATCTGGTCTGAATGTTTCTGATCTGATCTGAATCTTTCTGATCTGATCTGATTTGAATATTTCTATGATTATAATTATAATTATAATTATTATAATTGAAATTACAAATATAATTTAAATAAAATTATAATTATAATCGTAACTATAAAAATAATAATAATAATAATAATAATTAAAATTAAATTTAAAATGAAAAAATTTATACTTATTACACTAATTATAAATATAGATATAATTATAATTGTAATTATATTTTTAATTATATTTACTTATATAATTATAATTGTAATTATAATTACAATATTTATCTCTATAATTGTAACTATAGTTATCAATATTATTATAATTACTCCGTAAAATAATTACAATAGTAATAATAATAATAATATTAATAATTATAATCATAAATTATAATTATAAGTATAATTATAATTATTATAATTATAATTAATAATAATTATAATTATATTAACATTAATTATAATATTATAATATAATAATAGTAATATAAATACAATTAATATTATAATAATGATATTATTATATTCATATTAATATTACAATAATATAATAATAATATGATTATTATTATTATTATAATTAGTATTATATTATTATAATATTATATTATAATTATAATTATAATCATAATTATAATTATGATTGTAATGATAATTATAATTATTATATTTATAATTAATTACAATTATAATTATAAATATTTATAGATATAATTATAATAAATACAATTGATTATACTTATATAATTATAAGAATTATAATTGTAATTATAAGAATTATAATTGTAATTATAATTATAATTACATATAATTATAATATAATATTATATTAACATTAATCATATTATTATTATTATTATATTGTAATAATAATAATGATGATGATGATGATGATGATGATGATGATAATAATAATAGTCTTCTTAATAATTACATTTATATTACTATTATTATATTAAAATATTATAACTATTATTAATATCTTATTTTTTTATCATATTATTATTAATATTATTAATAATAATTATATAATAATAATAATCATAATTGTAATAACAATATTCATAATAATAATTAATATAATAATAAAAGTGATAAATCATGTTTGAACTTTTCTGATCTGATCTGAATCTTTCTGATCTGATCTGATCTGAATTTTTCTGATCTGATCTGATCTGAATTTTTCTGATCTGATCTGATCTGAATAAAATAAGAATAAGCAACAAGTAATAAGAATAAGACGAGCAGAACAACACCTTAGTTGTGAACTTTCCCTTTTCTTTACCTTTACTTTCTCTAAGTATTTTGAACATTGTTTATTTGTTTCGTGTGATGCTTAACAACAATTTCGCCAACAGCTCTCCAAACCATACAGAGCACCGATCTATTTGACTGCACAAAACAGGAAAAGCTCAGAATTGGTGAAGGAGAAAGCATGTGAACCATCCACAAGGAATACGCCTGAAGTTCAGGAACCTCAACAGCCAAATTTTAAAGAAGACCAAACACAACATTCAGTTTTAATGGACCCCTCTGGCAAACAGTCACAACAAGTGTCTCCAAAAACAGAGAAATTCCCATCAGAAGAATTCAAAACAGCAATGGATGATGAAAATGTGGCCCAAAACACACTCCTTCCTAATGAAACCATCTCGGGGAGGAAACTTGAGGAGAATGATGCAGAAATGATCACCCTGATGAAACCAGACTCTATCACAGAGCAGAAGAATAGTGAGGAGGAAAAGCCTAATGAAGAAAACCATCTGGTGAATATCCCAAAACCTGAGACCCCTTCTCAGAAGGAAAAGGATGAGAAGTCTGCTGAGATCACTTCAGAACCCGAGGTTCTTTCTGGGGTTTCTGAGAAAACTGAACAGAAGTCCATAGTAAACAACTCTGCAAATCTTGAGACACCCCAGCAGAAAACAGAAGAAGAGCAGCCTTCTGAAGAGCCCGCTAATGATCACAATAAAAGTATTATGGAGAAAGAAATTGAGGAAAAACAGGTTAAACACCCTTTGATGTCTGAGGCACCTTCAGACCAGAAAACAGAACATATTTCCACAGAACAAAACACCCCAAACCCTGATATTCCTCAACATGACAAAACTGAACAGAAACCTGTAGAAGAAAACAACTCTGGCAAACCCGAGAAGGGAATAAAAGAAAATGTTCCAGAGGGATATAATGAAAAAATCAGGGATGATACTGAGGAAGAAGACACTGAAATCATTGGAAGTCTTGATGTTAACAAAGCAAAAGGGGGGGAAAAGGAGGAGGAGGAGCCTGCAAAACCTTTGGAGAACAGAGAAGCCGCAGATGGAAAACCAAACGCCCAACAGCAACAACCTGAAACAATAACGGGGGAAAAGGAAAACACTGCTATGCTATTGGATCAACTTCTCATGAAGGAAATGGAAGAGAAGTGGATAGGAGGGTGATAATAGAGTTGTAGAAATAGAAAAGATCCAACTAATTAATCGAATGAAATCGTTGTACAGCTAGGACTCATATTTTTGTAGTGTGCAAGCATCTTTTTCCTGTAAAATGTAGATTATACTACATTACTACGTATTAATTTCATGTTTCAACTTCTGTATGAAGCAGGGTATCACAATCGAGGATCTACGGGTATGTTTGGGAGTTTCAGTTTCAGTTTTGGAGTGGAGGAGATGGTTGAGAAGGATTTATGACCATCTCTTTCATGCTTAGGAGTTAAAAAAATATGAACGGGATGGTTTGTGAGAGCTTTTGTAACCTTCCAAAACCTTCAAATATTTTATTTTCAAGTTCTCCCAAATTGGAAGATTATGAAGAATAACTAATTAAATGACAACTTTAGTTCAATTTTAAATAAATATAAATTCAATTATTGGAATTCATCATATATGTGAAGTGATTTTAATTATAATTCATCCAAAACTCCTATCTTTTCAAACTTGTTACTCCCAAACAAGAAGAAATATTTCCAATCCTTTTCCCCCCCTTCCGTTCCAATGACTAAGCTTGAAAATATTTCCCTCCCCTTCCCTTCAAACTTCCAAAATACCCAAGGGGTATGGCCGTATGGGGCAAGTGCCCACTTCCGGTACAAAAAACACTAAGGGTGTGTTTAGGAGTTGGGTTTTGGAGGGGGAAGGTTTGTGGGGTTTATTACACTCTTTTTCATGTTTGGGAGTTCTAGAAATTGAAGGGGTGGTTTTAGGGGCTTTTGCAACCCTTCAAAACCCACCAAATCCTCAATTTTTTAGTTCCCCCAATTCGGAGTGTATTGAAGCCTAATTAATGAAATGATAATTTATGTCTAATTTAAAATGAATATCAACTAAATTATTTGAATTTGTTATATTGAAAAGTGATTTTTATAATTTATTCAAAGACTATTCTTCCAAATTTATTACTCCCAAGAAGGGTTTTCTCACCTTCTCCCCCTTTTCCCCTCCAACAACATGCTTAATTTCATGTCCCCCTTGTAAACACCCAAGCATACCCTAATACTACTCAGGTGATAGACTAATGCCCCACTTCTGATCTTTGTAAATAGTTTTAGTTTTTCATGTTTAGACTCATACTCCGTATACGGAGCGGGAGTTGTAGAAAGAAACATTTTTGTGTATACGAGAAATACGTATCACTCTTCATCAGGGAGGATCTATGTTAGGGCTATGGTGGGCTGAAGTCCAGGGCAAAGCAAAAAGTAATGATTTTTTTAAGGTATTATTTTGACATAATTCCAGCTAGCCCACCCCGGGTTTTTGTATAGCCTAGTCCAATTTTTCAGCCTAGTCTATAAAACAAAATCTTACCATATAAAAATCTAATATAAATGTTATACACATCACCTCCCACTTAATAAGTGGCATTTAATTTATACGTATAATGGTCATAAAGCCCACAAAGCATCAATGTAATAAATACAATAAAATATGATTCAATTAAGAACATGATTAGCATGTTCACATAAACTTGTAATGTGTTTGAGTATCTTCAACAACATTAATTGCCCAAAAGTGAGTTCTTGGGCAAAAGTTTGCAGTGTATATAGACATTTTTCATGTTTTGAATTTGTGTTCGATTTACTTTAGTTTGTAGTGTATATAGACATTTTTCATGTTTGGGACAAAATTTCTATGAAGGACGGACATGTGTACACATTTTGTGTACACCTAGCAAAACTCATAGATGAGAATGTTTTCTTGAAGAAGTAAATGAGTTTTTGTCAAAAAATAATTTCATGCACCAGACTTAAATTCTAATTTCTAAATATATGGTTGGTCATTGCTGAAAAGAAACTACATTTGAGAATCATTATTACTTTGGTGTTTTCAATGAGGTAATATACTTTTATTCATGGAGTTAACGACCCGGTTTAATGATAAATCAGTGGAACTCCTTTCTTTGAGTGTTTCATTTGATCCAAAAAATTCATATGAGTCGTTCAATGTCGATGCTATTTGTACTCTTGTAAGGAAGTTTTATCCCGAAGATTTTAGTAGTCAGGACATTCGTGCTTTGAAATTCGAGCTGCTACACTATGTTCATGATGTGATTCATGATATCAAGTTTCAAGTATCTACACTTGTTGAATTATGTGAGGAATTAACTAAAAGCAAAAGGTGTGATTCATATGTTAAGATGACTAGATTGATTCACTTTGTATTGGTCTTATTGTTTCTACTTCAACAGTAGATAGAATGATCAGTTTCTGTCGTGAAACTTCTAAAGGCAACACTCTACAATAAAATGGATGATAGTTTTCTTGCTGATTGCATGACACTTTACATTGAAAAAGATATTACTCTCAGTATAGATGTAGACTCTATTGTTGATGAGTTTTTTGTTTCAAAGCCTTGTCTAGAACCAATTTAGGGGATAACTTTTATAATTGATTTTTCGCTTATTTTGAAAAAAAATCAATGTATTATCAATTAAAATTTTCAGCCCAGCCCAACATTAAATCCTGGATCCGCCCCTGCTCTTCATCCCATAAAATAGTTCCCGCATTGACTTGAATCCGAGTTTAAGAAAGTGGGAATAAAGTGGAAATGTGTGGTTGTAGTTAAGTAAGAAAAAGGTAAATGAATAGTAGCCACAAAAAACTTTCCAAAAGAGGAAATGAGAACTATTTTTGGAACGGCCCAAAAAAGAATCCGGGAACTATTTTGCAGGACGGAGGGAGTATGTATTAACATCGTTTTAAATTGCGGTTGGAGTAGCAATTGCGGCAATAGTGGCCGCTGCGATGCGTATTGAGGCCACTACGGCGTAAGATATTTTCAAGTTCGCACAAAATAATTATAAAATGATTTTTTTGTATTCTTTAAAAAATCTTTTATTAATTATATTTAGGGAAGAAAGAAATAACATACCCCGAACTTTGCCTTGGTGTGAGCTCCCCACTCCGTGCTTGTCCTAGTTTAAAACTTTAAATAATAGCCCCAACTTTATTTATTTAAATTTTTGGTACCATATTTTAATTAACAAATAATATTCCTCAAATTAAAACTTGTTAAATAAATTTAGTTGGCAAAAAAAGATGTGTGATTCCCAAAACAAATGTGTGCTTTCTTAGATAGTTTAGTAGGACATGGGGCATAAATATCTTCATTTTACAAAGTATGGGATATTTATACAATGTGAATAAGTTTGTGGTGGGGATACCACACCTATATAAAGTTTAGGGTATTTTATCCCCCCCCCTATATTTAACATAATTTTGTTTATTTGATTTAATGATTGATAAAAAGTGAAAATGCAAACTAATAATCTAACCTTTTGGGATCTTCTTACAATGGTCCCACCTAATCGTAATTCAAGAACAATCCAACTTTTGCATCTTATCTTCATTAGTTGGTCTCTGATCGGTTGATGACCTGCTATATATTTCAGGTTATTTTCTTTTCTTCAAAACATTAAACTATAAATGTCACACTAGCTCCTATAAGAATAAAATTTCCCATAGGGTATTGAAGTGTATAACCCACATTTCAGGTTATTTTCCTTCCTTCAAAACATTAAACTATAATGTCACCTTTCACACATCTTTTCCAAGTAGTCCCACGTATCACTTTTCTCTTTTTATTTTTATCATCTTAGCTCTTTTATTCCACTTTTTCGTCTTCTTATTCTTATTTTTATTTCTTGTTCATGTTTATGTTTCCGTTTTTCCTTCCTTTTCTTCTTTCCGTTCATTATTTCATTTTCATTTTTATAAATTTTTTCGATTTAGTTCATTTCATTTTACTTACACTTATTTATTTCCTTTTTCCTTTTCTAACCTTGATTTCACCACTAATATATTTTTGGGAAAATAGCCGCAAATAGGACTAAACTAATTCATAAATGCACAAATAGAACCATTTTATTTATCTTCCCAAAATAGGACTAAAGTTCACCCTGCCTTCTTATTCTACTCTTACCATAACTTTATAGAATAATCATATTTTAGATAATAATAAAAATGATAAATAATAAAAAGTATTTCAATTTATAAAAATATAGTAAAAAATTTTAAAAAATAATAATTTGTTCTTTTTAAAAAATAAAATAATAAATAATAATTAAAAAAATATATAAAAATAGATAAAACACATTAAAAATATAAACACTGTAGATTTATTTCCCAACAATGCTAACTCTGATCGGAAAAAAATGTCATTTTGTTTAAACACTGTAGATTTAGCATTTCTCGAAATCTACAACGAATATGAATAAATAAAAAGAAAGAAAAAATTTAAGAAGAAAAAATAAAAATCATATGTGGGACCGTTTTGAGAAGATTTGTAGAAGGTGAGATTTATGGTTTACTGATTTGCAAAGAAAATGAAAACTCCTGGAATAACAGGTCATCAACCAGTCAAAGACCAACAAATTAAAATGAGTTGCAAAGGTTGGATTATTCATGAATTATGATTAGGTGTGACTATTGTAAGAAAATAGCTAAAAAGTTGAATTTATTAGTTTCCATTTTCACTTGATAAAATTAATAGAAGTATTATCAACACTTCTTTAAGCACTTAAATGAAAACAACTAATTATTTCAAATTAAATAATTATTACAAACAAAATTAAAAATATTTTCAATATATAATAAAATATATCATAAATATTTTTCGTAATTCAACAGATTCAGCCAATTCGATCGATTTCGTCAGCATTTCATCAATTCCTGGATATTCAGCTGATTTAACTAATTTAAGTGCTATCAAAGGGGTTCTAAATTTATGTGAAAAACAGAATTTATCTAAATTAGCAAAATAAAAGTGCTTTTGTTTGTTTGTTTTGGAATTTGGGTTAAAAATATATACTATAACCGGCATTGAGATTTGAGCATAGAATAACGATGTTTTTACTTGGACTGGAATTTTCTGGTCTATTCTGGTGTGAATTGGTCTAATATGATAAATGTCTAGTCTCTGTTTTTATAATGAGCAAAAACAAAATAATGAGTATTAGCGTATAACGTGTTATTCTCACTATCATGATATCTCTACAGAAAATGCTCATAGTTACGTTCAATGTTGTTACAGGAGAACTGATTTTGTGTAAGGCTGATTTGTTTTTATTTGATAGCTGCACAGAAATGAGTGAAGACATGCAGAAGATATACACACAAAAAAAAGCATAATAAGAGCATACTACTTAGTAGATGATAAATACTCATGATATTGCTTTTGCAAGAATATTTAGTAGATGATAAATACTCTTGTTTAAACGTGGATTTGTATGTAATAGTGGGTATGGATTTGTATTTTACGGAGTATAAATCTTGATGAATATCAATAACACTTGTAGTTATTTGATTGAAATACAACAATAATATATTGTAAATTTATTTATTTATTTAGAAAATTCCGAACTTTAAGGTCAACGCTAAAAGGTTCTTTTCATTTTTTCGCTCCCTAGACTTTTTGCGTCAACAAAGTGGATGCAAAAGATAAATCTTATTTGTGTTGGTAAATGTGGATGCAAATTCACTTTTTGCGTTGAAGTATTAGCGGTTAAAACATTAGCATCCACATGTTGATGCACGCAAATGAAGTATTAAATTGGACTGACACCCTTTTTAAATAAAATGGAGGCACCGATTTTGAGAGGCCCTTAGAGACTCGCAGGCTCACATACTGACATTGCAAATTCAAGCTATATTTTTCAAATTTAACATAAAAAAATAAAAAATGGTATACTTAAATAATTGATTCGATTCAAATTAAGTTTTCTAAAATTAAAAGTTGAAAACAAATGGGGATGTATTTTAAATTACTTTTTTTTCTATTACACCAAAAATACTCTTACCAAATGTTTTAACTTGTACGAGTACTTTTCAAAAATCTTTTTTATTCACACACTACTATTCATTAATCACTTTTCAAATGGTTCAAAAAATCTACTATCAAAAAATGAATTTCTAAATTAATCTATTCCACAAATAAAATAGAAGTAAACCCAAATTCTTTTTTAAACAACTATGAGAGCATGGAGATTGGGATGGTCCGATGGACCAAAATACATTATGCTTTGAGGTCACAAGTTAATGTCAGGTCATCTTTTTCGAGAGTAATTCTATGCACAGCCCCCTATTTACTAATCATACACACAATTTTATAATCCATGTTATGCCCTTATTGTTATACGAAGCCCGAGTGAGTGTTTTTAGAGTTCCAACTCACATATCCTGACATCCTGTTGCTTGTGTCTGAACATTCCACAAAGATGAAGAAGCTGAAGGCAAATATCTATCCGAGTAATCCGACTATACATATATCTGCCTCTGTTAAATGTCTCACACCGGAAAATTGAGAAGCACTAGAGTGCTATATTAAGCTTTGGGTTACTCCTCCTAATAGGTTGACCTTTTAGGATGGAACCCCGGGTCTTAACATGGTATCAGAGCCAAATCAATCCATGGTGTGGGGCCCCTTATGAAAAATGACGACACGATAAAAAAAATTGACGAACCGATGAAAAAATGAATGACGACACGATCTAGACGAAGTGTCTGGTCGTGAGGAGGGGTGTTAAATGTCCCACACCGGAAAATTGAGAAGCACTAGAGTGCTATATTAAGCTTTGGGTTACTCCTCCTAATAGGTTGACCTTTTAGGATGGAACCCCGGGTCTTAACAGCCTCCAACAAGTCTAAACGCCACACAGGTGGACGATTCTATGGATATATCGACAACCAGCAAGTTGGTGAAACAGCAAACAAGTAAATGACACACAGTTTGATCTTCATCCTGTTCCAACTGCAGAGACCGATTATTGTTGTTATTTTATCTTTCTATAAAAAAGCTAAATTTCTCTTTTCTCTGCTATTGAAGCCAGTTTGACTTCTTTTGAGGAGCTGGAGGTGCCACCTTTGCCGCAATTGGACTTTTCTGCAATCTGCAAGTATGGCTCAATTTAGGGGGAGCAAATGATGATCTGGATTTTCTTTTTTAAATTGAGAATGATTTGTGCACCATTATGAAATGTGAAATTTCTGATCTCTTAAATGATTAGAATGTAAGTATAAATTGTTCTGATATTTCAAATTAACTTTGCTTCTCGGATATAAGTAGTTTCTCCTGCTTTGCGGCCTTGTGAAGAGTAATATGTATATCATGCTTGGTTAAGTTTCTTTCAGAATTCTACTTAGATCTTGTTTTTGGCTCCACTACTTGATGTGCACACATACGTCTTCTTGCAGCGACACAAGGAGAGAGGGAAGGGAGTGCGATAGATAGTTTCTTCGTAGAATTAGGTGTGGGGAGCAAGCCATCAAGGGAGTTTGAAGCATTTTTTAAATCAGAGAGGCTAATGCGCCAAATTTCCAAATCACAGTGGGGGTTTGGTGCATTAAACCCGAGTTAAGTGTGAAGCTGCTTTGTTTTCTCAAAGAACTGGTGGATTCACGCCGGCCCTGGGCATGTGTAGACAGCCCATTCCCACAGTACTACATAGCCCATGATTCGAAACTTTGAACTGCTAAGGGTATGTTTGACAAATGGCTTATCAGCCGGCTTTTAGCTTGTTTGACCCATTTCAGCTGTTTGATTGGTCAAAGAAGCTAATAATGATGTTTGGTAAATGGCTTTTAAAATTAGCTTGTTGAGTTTGAAAAGCTGAAAAAATGGATTGTTGAAGAAGCTAAGGGGATCAGCTTCTTCATTCGGCTGGTTCAATTTACACTCTATCAGCCATTTCGAAATAACCAATTTTATCAAACAGTTATCTATAATCAGCTAACATAACCAGCCGGTCAAAACAGCTAACACAACCAGTTGTTAGGAAACAGCTGACACAACCAGCTAACAACAACAGCTAGCTAAAGGTCATTTGCCAAACATACCCTAAGTCTGCGAAGGAAAGAACGAATTGGGAAGTGGGAACACAGGGAACCGCAAGTCTCAAGCTTTGAACTGCGAAAGGTGGAAGGAAATATAGGAGTGCAGAATACCGTAGGGCGAAGACGGGAAGAAAAAGCCTCCAGCGACTGTCTCCAGCCAGCGCCACACTCCCACCCTGTTATTCCTATTCTAAATTTTTGAATGAAATTCATCTATTCATTTAGAATTTCCACACTTCCAAGAAGATGATGCAGGCAATGCGCAGATGGCAGAAAGACTCAATTTTGATTCTCCTGTCCACGAAAATAGCAGCAGCCTCTGAATCATCTGCGACCTATTCTGCCTTCTTCCATTCTACTCCGATCTGGTTGGAGAAGCGGAAGAGCAAGTGGGAGTCCGTAAGCTCATTGCACTATTTATTTTTTCCAAAATGGTAGAAATTAAACAAAAAAACTTGTACTTTTATTTGACTTGTCCCAGATTCATTTTTTTTTGTTTGATTTTCGGTCTACTCTTTTGGAATTATTTATTTCGGATTATTTTACTTCGTGGGCAGTATGATAAACAGAAAAGGCTGAATCTTGGACTCTGTATATTTGCATAAACCAGTGAAACAACTAAGTATAAAAATGCATCTTTGAAGTGCTAAATTTATGCACGACACGGCATAATTTGCAGTGAAGTGTTAAATAAGTTCAGAGATAGTCAACCTACTACTAGTTAATTCATCAGATAGAGCCATAGTGTTAACTAGCTTTTTAGCAATATGAATGTGCTAAGAGGGTTGAATGAATTTTTGGCTAAAGAGGATTTTATTGCACATGAATGTGCAGATTAGAAAAGCTCCAATTAGTATGATTTATACGTGTAGGTTTGATGAGTATGTCTTACATAGGCTAAATACAATAGGGAGCATTATATCACATACCAACGTATAAAACAATTGGTAAAAATATCAAGTGTTCATAGGGTGTCAAAATCAACTTGATCTGTAGTCATTATGTGGGTTTGGATGGGAAATAAAGTTGTCCCGATGAGGTGTAGGGCTAAGAGGGTTGAATGAATTTTCAAGAAAATATGATACAGTCAAGATGGAGTGTGAATAGAGTTTCACGCGTTTTTCAAATGAGTTCAAGTCGTTCGCCTTTCAAAACCTTGAGAGTGTGTGCAGTGTGCACCTCTGAGAGAAAGAAATTGCTCGGTAGAGATGAGGTACTAGGCTGTGATGGGTGCACGCTCGCTGTACCATAGGGTATTGAAGTGTATACCCACATTGGTTATGTTTATAGCAACAAACTAAGATATAACATATTTCGGATACTTCTTATATGTTTAACCTCTTAAAATGGACTCTATGCATTAACTATGTAGTTTCAAGTAGGAATCAAAGTTTTCATTTTCTTTGGACCTTGACCTTTGCATTAAGTTCTATAAAATGTATGCTGGGTTATAGTCTTCGTACAATATAATTTAGTGAGAACCATCTTGCTGCCTTCATGAATGAAACGCACTACGGAGTATTATTTCCCATATCTCCCATTTATTTGTTTTTATTCATTTTCATTATTGATTTGGGATCTATTTTTTCAATAACAATTTCTGTTTTAAGACTCTCTTATTGTTCGTAGTTCGTACTCGCAGCCATTGTCTGTTCAAAGAAGTAAAAGATTGCATTCCCTTACTGAATGTTAGCTAAATTATTTCTGCGCAGGATTTCAGAGGAAATCAACAGCCGCCAAAGTCAAACAAAGTATGTATTCTCTTTTTTACTAGACTACCAGGGATATCTCTAAGTTTAATTTGTGGTTGCATAAATTAATTTTCACAGATCATATACTACTATACTAGTGTTGCTTAACCTGAATTGTAGGTGTGTGTTCAGTTCAGTCTTGCTATCTATCTATTCCAGATGTAGGGTTTTAAATTTAAGGTCAGTGTAGCAGAAAATGCTTCTTTATGAAGAAGATCCAATGTCGAAAAAGAGGCATACCTTATTGTTGATAGCCTTGCTTGGATTTATTCCATATGTGAACTGCCATGATTAACTAAAGCACAGATAAAGATATTTAAACAAATTTGAAACTCCACACTTTTGCACACATTAAGAGAAGTGGTGGTTTATAACAAATACTATATAAAGAAAATCCAAAACAAATACTTCGTATATGTGTTTTTCATATCTTTTGGGCTTAAAACATATAAGCACAAAACGTTTTCTTCCAATCTTTCCTATCATGATTAGCTGCCTCGCCGTTCTACTATTGAGATATTTGACCTTAAAATGAAATGATACTGAAACTTGAGCATCTTTGGGAATACAGAATGCTATCAGGTATGCAGTACGTCAAAAACGTGCAGACTCGAGGAAAGCTTTGAAAGATCTGCTCTTTTATGGGGGCTCCATCGATAACTATCTTGAGGTAACTGGTTCTTTTGTATTTGTCTTCTTAATGTATAGCATGTTCCAGTTGGTTTGTTTCTTCACCCAATATCATCTTTATACACATATGTGTTGCTTTACCACCAAAACCTTCCCCGTGGTCTGTACAATACGGGCTTTCACGACTGTTTGTAATACCCTATTTGTTTGTTTTGGTATTACCTCTATTGAGTAAATGTTACTATTAACTTTCAGTCGTTCAATCATTTTGCATGTCACCTCACCCATTCTATGTGCCACGTTCACTTATAGACATAGTTTTGGCCATGCTCAATACAGTTTATCTTTTCCATATTTTAAAAGTTAATGTTGAAAGGAAATGCTAATTTTTCTTTTTCGGTTTGCCTAGGAAAAATATCCGGTAGAAAATGTGAGATGGAATGTAGAGCAAAATGATGACCCTTTAGACAAGAAATGTGAACTCAAGAGTTCAGCTCGTAGTAGGACTCGCTTGAGGAGAAGGCAGCGTAATTTTTTGTTTCTTCAAGCTCCTTAAGAACTTTATGCCTCTTCACAAATAGTGTCCTATTTCACTTTTTTTCTGCAGTCTCTTTTGTCATGCTCTTTTATTAATTTATATGAACTTGGACAGGAATTGTTTACTTGTGACTTAATGAGCATAACCAGGATAGTTATCTAATTCTTTAAACACTAACCTGTGTTTACTTTTGACTTGAGCGGAAGCACAACTTATTCTTTCTGCCAAAATTTGAGTTAAATCATTCACTTCTAATAGATTATTTATTCTTCCCATTCTCACGCCTATTCAGCCAATTTCTCTCAAGAAATCATGGTGGAATAGATGCATGTTAATAAGTGGGCTTACTAATTGACAAAGCAACACAAAACTACAAAAGTAATCTTAATTTGGTTATTAATTCAATTCAAACTGTTTATGCAGCATACAACGTAAACTGCCTTTTACAAAGTACTATTTAATCCAGAGACACAAGTTCATGGAAAAAAAGTAAGCAACCCCCCTAAAAGTTACTCATGATCAAGTCTTGATTAGTATAGATTTTCTACAAAAAATTGTAGAGTGTAGTTGCAAATATTTACTTGATTTACTTCCACTTTTCTAAATATTAAATAAAAGTAAGGAAAATGTGTCAATTCTGTGAAAAGTTAACTATTTCCTAACTATCTTTATTGGGTATTGGTGGGGAAATAGTAATGTACTTTAAGGGTTTAAGCGTGTTTTGCAAACTTGCACACATAATTAGATTGAGTTATATTGAAGATAAGATGTGTGCCTGGCTACTCTGCCTGCTGACCAGTTCAGTCCTTTTGGTACATTTTTAGGTAAACTGAAGAAACAGTGTTTATATGAAGACGATTATGATGATGAACATCCAGAGAAAATATTTCGAGCAACCTTTGGTGACAAATCGTACACGTGGTCTTACAAGCCATGGAAGGAATTTTCATTTGATGGTAAAAAAACTCGAGTTCACCATGAAGAAGAAATGAGGGAATGGAATGCCAGACAGCAAAGCAATCACTATAGTTCAGACACCAATCATAGCATTAGTGAGTCTTATATTGTAGGGTCATACTCTGAACGATCAATTCTAGGTCTTCCTGTAAGGGGCCCTTTGAAGATTGAGGATGTCAAGAATGCGTAAGTTGTTAAAAAAACATCTTTCTTACTTTCATAAATCAGGATTTCAAGTTTTTTTTTTGTAAGAGAGCACTAAATTTGAGGGGTGCTGTCTTGATGTAGTTTTCGCCTCTCAGCTTTAAAGTGGCATCCTGATAAGCACCAAGGTCCTTCACAGGTCAGCTTGTATTCATATAACAAATCTCCCACCCCCACCCCCACCCTTCTTTTTAATCATGTATGTTCATATTGTATTAAGATTTAGAAATCTATCACAAAATATTAACCTTATAAGAAGAGCAGCATGTTCATTTGAACCCACTTTTTCTGGTTTGTCCCCGGCTAAATAGGGAAAACTGTCAAATAGGTCCTCCAACTTTCATAAAAAGGTCAAATAAGTCCTTATATAGGGGTCTATGTTCGGCGGTTGCGATTTGAGGCGGTTCCTGGTGGAATTTTTTGATGAATTTTTTTTAGCATCTTATTCATCAAGTCTAGTTTACTCATACCAAATTTCAGCTAACACTTCAATCGGGAACGCATTCAAATTAATTCTTCAAGATAACTGTGCAGTTAAATGCACAGTTATCTTCAAGAATTAATTTGAATGCGTTCCCGATTGAACTTTTAACTGAAATTTGGTATGAGTAAATTAGACTTGATGAATAAGATGCTAAAAAAAATTCATCAAAAAATTCCACCGGGAATCGCCTCAAATCGCGACGGCCGGACAAAGCCTCCTATATAAGGACTTATTTGACCTTTTTATGAAAGTTTGAGGACCTATTTGACAGTTTTCCCCGACTAAATATTATGTGTAGTGTATCATATTATTATTTTAATGAGATCAAGTCTAGTCTTGAATGTGACTAAATAAGTCCAAAGTGAACATGTCATTAGACATTATGAGCCCGTTTGGTTCAGCTTATCAGTCAAATTTTTACCAAACACGTAGGTTTTGACTTTGTGCACTGAATTGACAAATAATCAAAATAAGTAATTTTCATGATTCAGCCAATGCACTCACTTCAACCAAAATTTCATAAATTTCAACAAATTCAGTTAATTTTAGTGTTACCAAGCGAGCCTTATTTGTTGGTTTGTAATTTTTATTTTTATATTGTACAATTTGAGATGACTTAACACCAAAATTTTTATGGAGTCCCATATGACTCCACTATGGAGTCATATACTTATATGGGCAAACATAGCTTCATGCCTTCATTATAACTGTTCATTTTTAAAATGAGTTGATAATGGATGGACCTTGCCATGAAAATATATGGCATTGATGAAGTCACAGCAGTCATGACTCCATTATGTTAGTGGGAGTCATATGAGGCTCCATAAATTTACTCGAATAAACATTGTTAACTTAAATAAATATGGGTAACTTAGATTATTTCTCATGGCCTGCTTTTTCCTCCGTCATATGCCACTACTTTACTGTTTACAGGCTGCTGCAGAAGAGAAATTCAAGTGTTGTGTTACAGCGTACAAATCATTGTGTGATGCCCTCTCCCCAGCATAACCCCCACCACCCATTTACTCATTTCATCTCTGATCCAAGGAGGCCGGTTAGCTTTAGAACAGGGATCCATAAGCTTGCTAATTATGATTCAACAAGGTCTCGCTTTGTCATTATGGATGGAGAAGTATGGAGTGTGGTGTCAATGAAGTCAGGGGCGTAGCTAGGATTGAGAGACATCGTAGCTAGGATTGAGAGACATCGTTGGCCTGGCCCACACCAAATTTCAATTTTATTTAAATTAGTAGGGTGAAAAAACCGTGTAAAACATCTAAAAGATTTTTTTTACCAGTCCAATATACTGCCCTTAGTCCTCGACTTGTCGCTACACCAGTGAATGGAGTCATTCATCCAAGAGCTTGCCAGTTTATACGACGTATGATTTAACATTTTATGAAAATGAGATGCATGAAATATGATTCATTCATTCATGCAATGTAGTTAATTACTTAATTAGTTACTAGTGTGGTGCTGCGGCCTCCAGCCAAGTGAATAAGTAATTATGTGGAGTATTGAATATTTTTTATTGTTTGAATAAGAGTGCATTTGGAATTGATTTTGTTTTTTCTTTTTTTAAAAAAAAAGTAAAAGTACGATCATAATCAGTATTCAGAAGTTGACGTCCTCTTTCCCAAAAGTTGCTTCTGAGTAATTTGAAAGACTAAAAAGTATTCTGCATTTTCACTCGAACACTCCAATATCTTTTTTTGTCTTCTAAAAGAGTACTTTTTAAAAGTTGTTTTAAAAAAGAGATCTAAACACCCCTTTAATAATGATGGATGGATCTCAACTATGCATCAACAATTCATTAAAAAAATATATTAAAATTTATTTAATCCCCACCCATGATTTTTATCTAATAGAAATTGTTTATTTCCTTTTTGTGTTGATGAATATCTATTCTATTCATTTTCCAAATATTACCTATTACTCATTTAATTTTACCACATTAACAAAATTATTGATTTCATTTTATTATAATTTTTCGGAGTGTCACATTCTGACATTCTACCCTACTTAAAAGATGTTTTGTCCTCGAAGCATAAGCTCGAGTAGGGGTGTAAATGAGCAAAGCCGCTCGCGAGCTGCTCGTAGATCGATCGGGAAAAGCTTGACTCGAGTTCGGTCATATTAAGCTCGACTCAAGTTCGGCTCGACTCGAATAGTTAACAAGTTCAATTCAAAGTTATTTATTTTAGGCTTGTCGCTCGAGAGTCTTTGTGTCATATTTTATATAAAATAAATATATATGTAATAATTATATATATACTTTTTTTTAAATATATTTTCTAATTTAGGACTATTTCATTTCCAATACTTATCACAGAGTATATTCTAATAGTAATAATTACAAAAATATTAACATGTTCATAGTATTATTATAATCATAATCTGTAATAATTATAATATGTACTCTTAATATTTAATGACAGTAAAATAAAGAATAAAAATGTTAGTAAATGAGAGATAAACTAAAAAAGAAAATGAATAAGTACACATATAATATGTTTAGCTCGAGTTCGAGCATCTTATTCGAGTTCAAACCTATAAAAATTAATCAGGGAAACTCGACCCGAGCTCGAATCAAGCTTGAAAGGAACTCGAGCCGAGCTCAGCTTGAGATCGAACTTGAATTATTTAACTCGTCCAAGCTCGAGATCGAGTTCGAGCTTGTGAATTCTTATCAAGCTCAAGCTCAAGCATGCCCATGCTCGGGCTCGGCTCGGCTCATTTGCACCCCTAAGCTCGAGTATACATTCAATACTAAAGATATACTACTTCCGTCCCATTTTATGTGTCATAGTTTGACTTGGCACGGTTATTATTGAAGTGGTTGAAAAAGTAAAAGTTGTGATTGAGGTTTGAGTAAAAAAAAGTGAAATGGAAAGTAGAGACTTATTTTGGGACAACCCAAAACGGAAAGTAGGACAAGTAAAATGGGACGGATGGAGTATGACTTTAGATACACATAAGAGCATCTCCAATGCTAAAATGTGAATAGTGCATATGTAGCATGAGAGATAGCCAATTAGAAAATAATAAAAAGAATATCTCTCTCCTTATTTGAAGGATCTTGTATGATTTTGATAAGTTTTTCTTCACAATGTCAAGCACAATGTCTAGATGTAGACATTGTGTTTGACATTGCAGGGGGCTTACCAAAAGCACATAAAACCGTGGAAAGAATGTGAGAGAAATGTCATAAATTCATTTTTTTGTGTCTATATCTCTCATTCCACATGTGCACCGTGCACATTGTAGCATTGGAGATGCTCTAATAGATAACAGTCTACCCTCCTTAAAAAGAGAGCTTTCAGTCAATATATCATACTTTAACTAAACAACTTAGGATACGTATGCTCATGTCACCTTTGGTTTCTCAAGTTGCATTTTCGCCTTTTGATGAAATGGATTTTTACCATTTTGTCTAGTTGGGGTCTCCAAAGTTCTAAGGTATCCGTAACTCGTAAGCAGGACCGGCCCTGACATATAAAAGGTCTTGTTCAAAATTGAATATGAGGCCCTGAAGTATAAAACACAATATTAATACTCTCACTGTTTTTAAATAAGTCTCCTTAGGATTTTTGTTGTTTTTAAGAAGAAAATAGTAGGGATAGTATAAAGATGTTAGGTAAATGAAAAAGTAGGGAAAAAAATATATTAAGAAGAGTAAATTAATGATAAAGTATGAAAGAGAAAGTAGTATGCAAGCTCGTTCCAAACTGTACGAGGTATATATGTGTGCTAATTACTTTATCTAGGTCTTATACTCTTATATAATAAAGAAGTTTCACAATTGTAATTAACATTTGCATTTTAATTACATCTAAATATTACTATTTAGTTGATGGAGTATATGGCCCGGGAACCCCCGGCCCATGGACTCCTACTTCTCCTACACAAGTCCATTGAGCCCAGAGAACAACTCAGGCCCAAATGCAACGGCCCGAGCCTCAAAGTAACCCAGAACACACACTGGGGTGCCTTCGGCCTCCTTGGCCGAAGGCTCCAAAACTCACAGGATAGCCTTCTCTAGCATAAGAAGCTACTGGGAGAAAACGGCGAAAAACATGAGCCTTCGGCATTATCGAGCCCTCGGCATCAGAGAGGCCTTCGGCTGAACAAAGCCTTCGGTCACACAAGGCCTTCGGCTACACAGGGGTCCTCGGTTACACGGAGCCCTCGGCTACACCAGAAGCCTTCGGCCAAGCATGCTCAATCATCGAAGATTCCTTTTGGAGACAGCCAACCACCGCATTTAATGCCACGTCACATCCGCCAACCGCATTCAATGCGGTGAACGTACCACTGCCGGTGCCAACCGGCTGATGTGACCCTTCGGCCGTTGGATTACTGACACGTGTACCCTCATCGCATTTATTGCTGCTATAAATAGCAGCCCATTTCTCCTTGTAATCGACATAATCTACATCCAACTTCCACACGCTGAGTTCATTTAATAAAATCGACTCTCTCTCCTCCTATTTACTCTGACTTCTCTCTAAGTTATTCTCGTAATAACCCCTCGGATAAGATACCCCCGGGTAGACTATCCATCATTTGGTGCTCTCGTTGAGAGGTCAGAACAATCAAGTAAGAAACCCTCCCCCTCTACCAAACACAAAATACTTACCAAAAATGGGAAGAACCACCCGTGCCCAGTCCAAAACCCTTGAGGAGAACCACATAACCCCCGGCGAAACCAACGGGGCTGAGGCCTCCAACAGGCTCTTAGTGCCCGAGGGTGGTGTCATCCTCGAATTGGAACAAGCCACCGCTGACCTACGTCAGCAGCTGCAGAAGAACACCCCCGATGCCCGCATTGGCCTTGATAATCGAAGGAGGGATCGGAGTGAGAACCAAGTTCCTCCTCCGACCTCGGCCATCGATCTTCAGGCTGCCTTTGCGGCCTTTGTTCAAAACATGGCTCTCAATTCTGGAGCCCTCGCCTCTCAGGCACCCCTCCAGCCCTACGCTGGAGGAAATGTTATTCAATTACCACCACTCCCCCCTCTGTTCAACAATCCTCCCCCGGGGATTGGAAACGCCGAAGGGGTCATGGCGCAGGACACCGCCTCCCAAGAGGCCCAATCCAGGGATAAACGTCCCTTGATGAAGGAGAAACCCCGAACCTCTGCACTTGAGAGGCTTGGGGGAGCTCCCATACGCCGAGGGGTCCAAGACCGCCTCGGCAAACAGGAATTCAGCAGGCCTCAGGAGAGCGGAGCCTCCGCTTCGGGAGCCGAGGGCATACCTCCGCCCCGAAGCAAGGGCAAAGCCATCCTCAATGCCGATGACGCCAGACACCAGATCAATCAGGCGCAGTCCTTCCGGGCCAACTCCCAAGGGGTTGCTCCGAAGGACCCCAAGGACGAAATCATTGAGGCCCTCCTCCGGCAGCTCGAGGAGAATCGTCAGGCACCCCCGACGGCTTCCGCAGCAAGGCCGGATCCTGAGTACGCCGACCTCCGGGCGCAGGTGGAGGAAATGAAGCGTAAGCTTGCCGAAGGCTCAGGGGAGCCCCCCATTCAACTCCGTACTAGAACACCCTTCACCCCAAGGGTGTTGGCGGCCAAAATCCCCCACAAATATCGGGGGCAACCCATCAAGCCGTATGAGGGGAAGACGGATCCCCAGGAGCACTATAGCCGCTATCAAAACAGCATGATGATGATGGGGGCATCGGATGAATACTTATGCCGTTGGTTCCTTTCCACCTTGGAGGGACCCGCGTATGAGTGGTTCAACCGATTGCCCGAAGGCAGCATTGATTCGTGGCAAGAACTTGCCCACCGCTTCCTCACACAGTTTGCCGGGAGGCACCGCTCAAAGAAACACTTCTCCCACCTTCTGAATGTGAGACAACAGAAGGAGGAAACCCTTCGGAGTTTCCTAGAACGCTGGAGGCAGGCCTCCCTCGAGGTCGAGGGCGCCGATGACAGGACCCTGATGGCCCTCTTCCACACCGTCCTCCGCAATGGTAACTTCTCCCGGAGCCTTATCACTGATCCCCCCCGCGATTATACAAAGGCCCTTCAGCGGGGGGACCGATACGCTGAAGCGGAGGAAATCGAGAAGGACCGCCGCAACACGGACCCCTCTCAGAAGAATGAAGGCAGGAATCGGCCCGGAGGGCCTCCCCCTCCGACCAACCGAGAGCCACAGTACAACGATCGCTCCCGAGGTGGCCAAGCCAGACCCGGGGGCGGTTACAAGAATAATCCGAAGGCATGGGCGCAACCCGTCCTCCTTGAGCACCCACGCACTCCCTTGACGCATCCCGTCAGCGTCATTCTTGACCATGCAGAAGAGCGGGGGCTCGTTGAGCGAGACTCCCGTACGCCCCTCGAGATTTATGCCATCGGTCCTGATGAGCCCTACTGCCGCTTCCACCGCCACCATGGACACAAAACCGACGATTGCCATCAGCTGAGGAACGCCATCGAGAGGCTGATACAGGCGGGCCACTTGTCTCAATTTATCAGGGGCCCTCTTCCCCAGGGCCCCCTTCACCATCAAGGGCCTCCGCCGAAGGCCAACAAA